TGGGAGGCTGAAATTTTCAGGAAATGTTCCCAACTCATCTGCAACTTCAATTTATCAAATTCAGCCTTCCCCCCATGCGTGGTTGCTACGTACGGCCCCGTGAAAGCTTTTGGCGGGAAAATGAGTAACTCCAGAACCAGGGAAGCTGGGAGGACAAAATTTTCAGAAAATGTTCCCAACTCATCTACAACTTTAATTTATCAAATTCAACTCCCCGCCATGCGTGGTGGCTACGTACGACCCCGTGAAATTTTTTGGCTGCAATTTGGTAACTCGGGAACTAAGAAAGCTGAGAACCTGGGATTTCAAGGGAATGTTCCCTATCCAACTATAGCGTGGATAATTAAGTTCCCGACATTCGAGGACCAGTATGTACAAGAGGTTTCTAGCTAGCGGAATTTCGAGTAATCTTATTAGAGAAAGAAACACTGCAAAAACGCATAATCGCACGGGGTCCCCCAGTGCGCGTCACCAGTGATTTTCCTTCTGGCATATATACCTCATCAGTTCCTAAACATGGAACACCGCTTGCGCCCAGACGCCCTGTAGCATTCAGATTTAGTGTTCGTATTTGCAAGCTTATCTTCTCGCTTAAAGTGCTTGCTTGCTCACACATATCGATATTCACATAATTTCAAGCTTTTTCTTTCACTTCCTTACATCCACAGAACGAATTTTGCATAATGTTTTAAAAGATTCTTTTTTTGCGTCATGTCTGTAGATTCAGATGCGATAAGAGCCATTTCATTAATCAGCAGCAACTAGATTCTTCAGGAAACACTTTTTTTCCAGAAGACAGACTGGAGACTGGAGTGCAAGCCAAATGAGGCATAAGCGGAAATGTTTGATTTTGAGTATTAAAGAGATTGCGTAGAAATGACCGATAAGAATAGAAACTGCTAGACGTCTGGATCGAAGAAAATTTTTTTGCGTATGGCATACGCTAACGTAGCGATCGAACGACATTGCAGTGATGATCAGCGATGAGAGAATTTTACCGAAATTCTCAAGCACCGCATGAAATTTGCAGATCACCGTACCGAACATCCAGAATCCGAGTATCTACAAATTATTTTCCAAAGTTACTTCGTAGTTATTAAGTTACAGCAATAACTTAGTCGAAAATTCTTTTAAAGGAAGCACATTGGAAAGATCTGGAATTTTTTTAAAGATTTTTCCTATTTTTTTTCTCAAAAAATCTTGGTCATGCTAGAGCTGCAAAACTCTAACATCTGTAAAATGAAAATTGTTATCATATTTGTTCAGGAAAATGAGTGTTGCAAATAACCTGATCTATTACTGTGAAAGGCAAGGAAACGCAAACGCCAAAATCGACGCACGACAATACAACAACGTAAATTAACGTGTTGTCCAAAGCTGCTCGACGTGATCGTGCCTAAAAAAAACAAAAATTTTGATGAATTCGCAAAATAATCTTAATTTTAGTGATGATAATGAGTAATCACTCGCTTTTCCTCATCACGTTTTCAAGCTTCGCACGACGAATATTTGGAACGTAAGCTTTTATTACTATAATCATGAGTAAGTTTTAATATAAGAAGACACATTAGCTAGAAAAAGTTTAACTATTTGATCAGTTTTTAGAAAAAAATGCTCATTCTAGAACCAGATGAAAGCAATATATTTGTGAGCATAGTAGCATTGGGAAGCAAGCAGAACCAGTAAACAATGGAAAGCGTTTTGTTTAAACAAGTTCATACAGAAAAAAAATGTGTTATATTGTCAACTCTGTGTCTTGCGTATCCAAGTCTTTTATTTCACATTGTAATTCCCTAGTTTACGCTGGCTCTCAGCTGTGCGCAAAGTGTTTATAATCTGCGGTAAGAAATATGGTACTCTATAGTGTAGTAAAGCAAGTCATACATACTTTTTAGGCTTTTCTGCTTATTTGTTACAGCCAACAAAAACGCATATTGTCGAGAGGTTGTCTGTGCGTGTGCGTTCAGAAGCAAGTGCACTTTCTCACCCACTTTCATCTCAGCAACCAAGAATGCTGAGAGGCTGAAAATTCGGATGTATGTTCCTACCCCCTGTGTCACCCCCCGTTTCAAGATATTCCCCCGCACGCACCTAGACTCCGCGTACTCGCCCCTCCCCAAACAAATAAGCAAATTTCTTTGGCGGGAAACGATTTCGCGAACCCGGCAAGGTAAAAAGCTGAAACTATGGACAAATATTCTCTGAGCATGTGCTAGCTGAAGATTTTAAACTCAACTGTCGAGACGCTAGTGAAGCGCGTAGCATCACGTCAAACTTTGCGACTTGCTACTATGCTAACTCGAAACCTTGCCGGAAAAAAGTGGCTGAAATTTTATCGGGATGTTTGACTCCCATATAGGAAACTGCATACCTAAAATGAGTGCCGATTTGTACTTATGTCACGATTTATGGCACTTCAAAGATATTTGTAGCGAAGTGGATAAGCTGTGAGGCTGAAAATTCGCTCGAATATTCTACTTTCATGTCCGGTCTCGATTCCGCTTGGAGGTAGAATTCCCTACTGGTAGGCGTGAGAAATACTAAACTTTACCGAAAAATCAGAAACGAGTGCGTTTTGCAGCGAACAACCGCCCTCACCCAAATTTGTAAATCAGCGTTAGTTCATCTGCATTCTTGGACTTTTTGACAAACGACCGCTCAAGCAATACTTCCACTTTTTAGTGAACCGGAAATTTGCATTTTTTCCAAAAATTTGCATTTTTCATTATGCGTTTTTGCTGTGCAGCGCTATAGCAGCGAAAGCTGGGGGGCTGAGACTTCGGATGTAGCGCTGCTACAGCCAGCAAAAACGCATATTGTCGAAAGGCTGTGTGTGTGTGTGTGTGTGTGTG